AATCTTTCAATTGCAATGTATTCATTATCCAAAACAACAAGCTGTTATTACTTACACACACATATAACACACTATAAGTAGGAAAGAAACAATACAAACGTCCACACATTATTCAGTTAGAGGAAACCAGGTCTTTCTCAACAAATCACAATTCACACACAATAAAAATAGATTATCAATACCATACACCAAACACACAAACCTAAATCCTCACAGCTCTCTTCAGTGTAGAGATCGAGGTCTTAATGAAGCTGCTTCGAGATGCATAATCCTCTGCTATACTGTTATCATCAAGCACTAATGGCTTCTTTCTCATGCAATCCACTCTTTTTTTCATGCTATTCAAAATAAGAGAAGGAGAAGATGGGATTCGCCTGAAAGCTCTAGCACTCTCAGACCTCGAAAGCTCCTTCTCTTTTCCAACTTTTCCCTTCACAACACTCACATCGGGACTACTCATTCTTCTCGACCCTTTATCAGTGGCAACCCATTCTTTCTCTTTTATCTTCTCTGGTACTATTCTGTAAGGAGGGTTTTTACCCAAGGGAGTGTCATCTGTTTTCTCTTCTTTTCCTGGGGCTTGGGTGCATTCTTGGACTTTCAAGAGCTTGATATCTCGATGAGGATATACTAAATTCAGCTTCTCGATAAATTCATCAGTCCTTGTGGTGGCTCGATTTTCGTCCTTGCTCTTTACAGTATTTGCCTTGGGGTCATCATCCTCTGGTGTGTTTTCCAAAAGAAATTGAAGCCATTTTTCTATGTTACCTTTCCCACGTAGCCTTCTACTCTCTTCGTCTTCTTCCTCATCCTCTGTTTCCTGTGGAAATGGGAACTGAATATCGAAAATTTTCCCTCCATTTTCTATTTCTAGCTTCTCAAGCCTCTCTTCAATTATATACCCTTTCTCTTCATTATCTTTTTTATCATCTTTTTTGCAAGGCTGCATTATTCTGAAGCTGTTATTATTCTTTTCCTTTCCCTCTTCTGGTGGACCTTCTAAATTTGCTCCAGTCGGGCTCTGTTCTTCCTCCAAGAACTTCCGAAGTTCCTTGTGCTCTGACAAATAAAGAATGGCTTTTTTAGTATCATTAGTTTCCATTTCTTGTTTGTTTTCCATCAAACACAGAGCAGCAGCAGTCTCGTCCTCAATAAGTGTAGTATCGTTCATTCTCGATCTTTTCCTTGCCTGCTCCCACTCGGGTCTAATCTGTTTTTCGAGCTCGTCTCTTTGTTTGTACTTCATATGAAGTTCCCTCTCGGCTGAGTCACATATCGCCTTCTGGGCTTCGAGCCTGGCCAAAAGGGCACTTGCCGCAGCCTGGTTTAACCTCACTTGTTCCTTGTAGACTACACTTCTGCATTAAAGAAACACATGAAAACAATTCAGTATGTGCTTCTTTTTTTCTCCACTAGAAATAATTACAAATGCTGCCCTTTGAACAAAAAAAAAAATTACTCACTGGTGCATGGCATCTCGGATCATCTTCTCCAGCATCGCCCTGTATGAGCATTGTGACTCAGCAAGGCGTCTGCACTTTTCAGCCCGCCTTCTTTTCTTCATGAGCACCAGCTCGAGTTCTTGAATGGACACTTTCTCCTCCTCCGTTTTCTGCTGTAATTCGCAGACTTCATTATCCAATTTCTGTATCTCAGCATGCATTTTAGCAGTTTCCTCCCTCTGTTTTAGCGAGTCCCTGGCCAAGGCTATGGCCTGATACGGATTGACAGCCATTATATCGTTCTCATTCTCATCCGGATAATGTTTCGTTTTCTTAAGAGCTGCCGACAATTATAACTTGAATAGTAAGAGCGAACCCAAAAATTTGTAAAGGACAAAAAAGTGAAATTTTTAGAAGTTCCATTAATCCTTTGATGCTATTACTAACCTACTATGGGAATGGTGGATCTCGGCCGTTGGTTAAGATCGAGTGATTTTAGAGGGGCATCAGAGGATTCTCGTCGAGACAAGACAAGGCCAGCCGGGGCTAGGCCTAATTTACCTTTTGATTCTAAATAGTGTTGGGGAAAAACATGGGACTCAACTGTCTGCGAGGAATTCAATTCTTCACTTTCACCTTCCGAAAACAACCACGAAAATGCCCTGCGCCTGAAATACACAATACATAAAAAACAACAGTAAGGTGTAAAGAAGACCCACTTATTTTATAAAATGACAATACACCTACTTAACGGTTAATACTGCTAATATTACAAACCTGAAATCTGCGTTGGATGAAGCAAAAATAGACAAGAACTGGTTAATGGATATGCCGATTTGAAAATCCCACCAAGGTATGAGAAACTCAAGCTTGTCATGCTTTCTTTTGCAGACTTGCCATTGCAATATTCTGAGGTTGCTTGGAACAGTCAATCCTCCTCCTTCAGTTTTTTTTTTTTTAACCCATAGAATTAGTTCACAAATAAAATAAACACTTCAGCTAAACTAACATCTAGAAAATCTACAATCTAAAAGCAGAGTTATATGATCAGGAATTACTTGAGCAAGGGAACCAATGATCAATATCCCATGCAAGAGGAGAAGCAGCATCAGCATGATAGTAAAGAACATTGCCGTATGAATCGACACGAATTACTTCGGGATCAAAACCAGCATTCCTGGAAATTATTTATATACACTTTAGAGTTTTAGACATTTCATATAAAGAGTTGTTTCCAATAACGTATAAAACAATGTGAATAGAATTTTTTTACCCAAGATGATTCAGTTGTTTCCACAATAGACTCAAAAAAATCTTGGGCTTCGCTGTGGGCTTGGCCTTGGGATCAATAATTGGAAACAACTCTTCTAACTCTTTCACTCTTGAACCCTGCATCAAGGTAAAAATTAGCTCAAATCATAGCAAATGCATTAATATAGTCAAAATGGATAAGTATATGAACTCCATACACTTTCATGGGCAGCTAAGCTTTCAAAATGCCTACAGTTGTGATACTAAAAACCCAATAACCCCAGAAAGAACAATTATCAAGCTCCTGAATTTGGTTCAGATCATATAATTACAGTCAACTAACTTCATATTCATAGTCAAGCAGATTCAAACATGCTTCATGAGTTAAAAAATTCACCATTTCCCCTAAAACACCTCATTCTAGGGCTCAGCAAGTTCAGAAGCTCCCAAATTGAGGTAATTAAACACACACACCTCGAATAAAAAATCCACGCACATGCACAACTGCACAATTTCTCAACATGAACAAAACAACTCTCACTCTAGTTTAATCAACACACACACACAAACACACACACACGCACCCTAAACCTAAATCCCCAAATGTGACGTCCAATTACGCTACAAATCCTACAAACAGTTTCATCATACAGCACGGAAATCCCCAAAAGCCACCCACATTACCTCTTGCTGGCCCAATGCATAAGGATTGAAAGCAAAGGGCGGGCCGTGGCTGAACGGGCCGAAGCCCGGGTCCCTGCAGAGCTTGGCGAAGGCCTTTGGGTACCCGAAGCCCTCATCCACCGCCATCTCCTCGTCTGTAAACATCAACTTGCTCACCATTATTATAATCTTCTTCTCTAAGAGAAAATTCAATTGCAGAGATCTAAACAGAGCTAAGGTGATTTCTGATGAGGAAAACAAATAAATAAGACTTTTAACGGTCAAATTCTGTATTTTGAAATGTTTTTGTGTTTATCTGCTTATTCTTTTAAATGTTTGGTACTGTAACGGCTAGATGCGCGCAGACCCCACAGCTCACTCACCTCGCCCGCTCGTGTTAAAGACAACATGTGAATAGACAAAATTGACCTTATGAGGATTTATTTGAACATTGAAGTGTTAAATTTAGGGCTAAGTTTTGAAACTAAAGAGGGGAAGAGTAATTATATCTAACATCATCATTGCAGTTTCAATGTGGAATTGCAATAAAGTGCCTTTTTTTTTATGTTTTTGCACCAATTAATACATCAATGTCATTGTAATGTTAAAAGGAAATGCTACCGTTCCGTTACGGAACCATTTTGTCAGAATTTGTAACCGTTAGATCATCATATAACCGTTAATAATAGTTGATCTAACAGTTACAAACTCCGACGGAATGTTTCCGTAACGAAATCATAGCATCTCCTAATGTTAAATTGCTAATTATTAGTCCATATTTTTGCAATAATATATATATATATATATATATATATATATTTAAAATGTTGTTGTGTTTATATTGTTTTTTTAGACTATGAAATTTCAGATTTAAAAAATTGTACATGTTCTACTATCTTAAGATGTCACGTTTAACAAAAAATTGTTTCATTCAGTCATTCTAGCTATTATTTAGAAAACTAAGATAAATTAATTGCATATTTTTTTTTTTTGAATATTGCATGTGTATATTGAAGTTAATCAATGGAAAAATTAGAGTTAATCACATTAATTTAAGTGAGCTGGGGTTCAATTTCTACACCAAATATAATTGGAGTCTATTGTCTACTTGCTCCATGCTTGCCAAAAAGAATATAGATAAAAAAAAAATTGGTAATATATAGAATAAAGGCCAACTATTTTTATTATTTCTCAGTATATTTACTTAAATATTATGCTCTAGCACAAATTGACCTATTTGTATGACCAAAATATAAGATTGGTTTTCCACACCCCTTTCTATTAGGCGTGGAAATTGTGTCATCTAGTTATATATAACTTCTTCTAGTAACTCGATGGTTAAAGTTTAACTGTATTAATAATTTATTTTTTGATGTGATGATTTTCCACATATAATCTTGACCCAAAAAAGCAAAGAAGTAGAAGTATTATATACTCGAAATTGTATAAGACTAACATTCAATTATAACAAAGTTTACCTAACATTTTATTCGGAGACCACTACAGTCTCGTTGACGGAATGATTCCGTCAGTAGTTTCTACCGTAGATTATCTAATCTGCAGGTATATCTACAGTCGATACAAGTGACGGAACCATTCCGTCAACGGGATTGTAGTATTTTCTTACATTGTCATAGGACTAATTTTCAATTACTTAGATTATTTCAAATTAACTAGTATAGACACTACAATGTTATCGTATAGACAAGTCGAGTTCGAGTTCCTAATACTCGAATTTGAGTTCGAGCTCGAGTCTTTATCAAACTGATCTAATAAACAAGTTTGAATTCAATTTGTTGACCAACATTAATGTGTCGATCTCAAGTTGAGCTATATAAAATTATATATAAAAAAAAAAAAAAAAAAGTCAAACATTTTCTACTACTTTCTTCAAAGAAAATCCCTGAATATTGTTGATAGTGGTGTGTAGATGCCGCTATCAATGGACTTGAGATAGAACTATATATAGTCTAAATACATAATTTTGTTAATTACATGGGGTGATAATTAATTATTTATCACTTTTGAAAAATTGAAAGAAAAAAAAAAATGGTTGTTTTTTTATTAAGTAAATTGATTGACTCGTATACGTGATACATTGAGATTTATGAGCTCATGCTTAATGTCGTCATGTGGATTATTATTTTCAAATCCTGGCTCATATGATAATGATTTAAGATGAAAAAAAAATATTCAATTCACTTATTCATATTCTTTATGTCGTTGACCATGAATTAAGATATAAGCGTAGACGTACAGTATAAAAAAAATCACAAATAACGAGTAACAATTGATAACAATAAACAACAATTTTCATGACATTTATTATTTTGATTGTGAAGTGGTGAATTTAATTATTTGTCAAATTATGTCTATTTATTCCTGCAATTGTATAAATTAGTAAAATAAATTAAACTAAAACAATTAATAATAGTAAATCTGTTTGATTAATTAATGAATATTAATAGTCCTACTTAAGGTGTTCTTTGATATAACTCCATTTTGCATTTTCTTTTTTAACCAGAAAAATAGTTGTCATTAATTTTTACCTATTTTGACAGAAGAATTATTGTTTTTAATAAAACTCAAGATGAGTATGATAATATTTTTGGCCACTTGATTTCACATAAGAATATATTAGTCGTCAAGTTAAAGTAGTATGACTGGTCATGTTTTGATCCTTGCTAATTAATGCTATAAATTGATAAACCTTTTGACAAAATTGATGCTAATCACATTGCCATGGATTATTAAGAACACACACTTACTTGGTTGGAAATTCAAAAGCAACACTTTTTTTAGGTGTGCACTGAATAATTCTTTACATATTGACTTATGATTGTACACAAAACTTACAAAATTCTAGTTGGTCCTTAATACTTCGCTAGCTAGCTAGCTATAAGAATGATTTTCAAATCGAGTTATCCAAAATAAACTTCTAAAGCATCAATTACTCTTTTCATTCCATAATCAACCATCTAATTTTGTCAACGCGTGATTTAATAAAACAGTTCATAAATCAATATAACAAAATAGATAATTCAACAAAATATAGGGAAATACTAAAGTCATGTTACGGAACTACTCCGTCGGAATTTGTAACTGTTAGACCATTGATCATCACGTAACTGTCAGAGATAGTTGATCTAACGGTTAAAAACACCGCAGAATGATTCCCTAAAGGGACCATAGCATCTTCCCAAAATATATTTATTAGACATAAAAATATAAGCCTCGCTTTTTTTTTTTTTTATGTCTATTTATTTTTTTGTATATGTTTGTGTGGCATGCCAATTGGGCCATTGGGGGCAAAAAACAGAAGTGGTATATTCGTGCCCAACTCACTCTTATTGGTTTCTAGATGTACACTTTCTTTTAGTTCATATCTTTTCACTGTAAAAGCTATAACAAGCTAAGGAAAAGAAAAATTAAACAATAAATAATGGGGAATCCCATTGCCATTGGGGTTCTGAGTTTTAGACTTTGAGAATTTTTTCGTCAGTCTTTTTTTCAACCGCAAGAAGGAGGAATAAGTAGATAGTGCATGTAAACCGATTCGTGAGGAGTAAAACATGGAAGATGCTACGGTCCATTACGTAATTATTCCGTCGGAGTTTGTAACCGTTAGATCAATTATCTTTGACGGTCACATGATGATCTAACGGTTGCAAATCTCTGATTGCGTAACGGGATCTTAGCATTTTCCGTAAAACATATTCTCCCTATATAAAATTCCAGAATGCGCTGAGCCTACGTGGCTGCTTCTGGTGCTTC